GGAAATCAGTTGTGGAGGAGAGTTGGGACGCCAACTCTTGTACCTGCGATGGTTTGTACTTTTGATCAAGCTGTGACTCTACTATTCAGCACAGGGCTGCACGAACGCCGTCAGCTACCGTGCGGCGAGCGGCATTCACATCAGCGCGCATTTCTATAAGTGTCTGACCTTCGAGTCAGCCCAGGGTGAGCTCGCAGAGTGCCCCCTGTGGACCCGTCGAACGGGGGGAACATAGGTGTCCGTAGCGGACAGCAGGAGGCTTATGCCAAAGTGATTTGCCAAGACTTGATGAATTATTGAATTCCAAGTAGGCCGCTTTCGAGCATGCCAGAACGTGTCCGCAGCGGACGTTACGGCTTCTATCTGTGTTAAGAAATATTCTTAAACAAGAAAGTAGACTCTATTTTTTCGGAAAAATATTTCTAGACTATTTTTGTCAAAAAAACACGTTTTCTTTTAAATACGTATTAAGTTCCAATTTGAAGGGCCCTGCCACAAAGAGAAAGAAAGAGAGAGAGAGAGAAAGAGAAAGAGCGCCCCCTCAATGACAAACTTGACATCATCTATGGCCCCTTTCCATGATACGTACGTAGGGCAAAAGCTTCAGTTTGCTTAAATCTGTTTCAAAAAACTGTCCCCAACCTGTCCTCTCGGGTGGTCTGAAACTGGTCTGAAACCCTTTAGAAGTCCCATCGCAGCCTTCAACTTTGAGCCTCCCTCCCTCCTTCCCTCCCTCCCTCCCCTCATCTCAGATTCTTGAGCATTGTACCATGATAGAACATTATACAACATCCGTGGTGCCACTTTGCTTCCAAAAAGGTTCAAAACTTACATTTTGGGTTGAAAAACCTGAAGTTCCGAACCGTCAGCACAAAACGCATGTGGACCTGCAAAAGTGATATGGTCAGGGATGGTCATCGGAAGTTATTGGAGAACATGGAGTGGATGCATGAAGAAGAGCTTTTAATTCGGTACCACTACGGCCGCAATTAGGTACTATTGGACGCACCGAATTACGATCATGATGGTACCGAATTAAAAGCGAGCCTTCATTATCCTGTACACCCCGTACGTATCTCACTGGCAGACCCCACATGGAATGACGCGGCACAAGGGCCGCATTGTTTAATCTTGCGATCAAACATCCGCTTTTAGACAATGACCCTTGGATTTCCAGGGTGCAGGTGTAAAATGACAAACTTGACATCATCTATGACCCCTTTCCATGATACATACGTAGAGCAAAAGCTTCAGTTTGCTTAAATCGGTTTCAAAAAAACTGTCCCAACCTGTCCTCTCGGGTGGTCTGAAACTGGTCTGAAACCCTTTAGAAGTCCCATCGCAGCCTTCAACTTTGAGCCTCCCTCCTTCCCTCCCTCCCTCCCTCCCCTCATCTCAGATTCTTGAGCATTGTACCATGATAGAACATTATACAACATCCGTGGTTCCAGTTTGCTTCCAAAAAGGTTCAGAACTTACATTTTTGGTTCAAAAACCTGAAGTTTCGAACCGTCAGCACAAAACGCATGTGGAGCTGCAAAAGTGATATGGTCACTGATAGTCATCGGAAGTTATTGGAGAACATGGAGTGGATGCATGAAGAGGAGTTTTTAATTAGGCACCACTACGGCCACAATTAGGTACTATTGGGCGCATCGAATTACGACCATAATGGTACCGAATTAAAAGCGGGCCTTCATTGTCCTGTAGACCCCCGTACGTATCTCACTGACAGACCCCACATGGAACGACGCGGCACAAGGGCCGCATTGTTTAATCTTGCGATCAAACATCCGCTTTTAGACAATGACCCTTGGATCTCCAGGGTGCAGGTGTAATACTTGACATCATCTATGACCCCTTTCCATGATACGTACGTAGAGCAAAAGCTTCACTTTGTTTAAATCCGCCCGCACCGAAGGTGCTGAGGCGTTTTATAGGGCACGCTTGGAATCCGTTAGTATCGTCAGTATATACTATAGCTTTAGCTAGGGGGGGGGGGGCATTTTCGCTCTAGAATCCTGTGTTTTTCACGTTTTTGGAACCGGCTTAAAGTGCTTTCGCGCTAATGTTGGGTATCTTGAAGGCTTTAGGGATGCAAGAAATGCGAGTTTCTGCTTTGCATCATCTGTATCACCCGAATCATCTGAGCGGCACACGAAGTCCCTATCTAATGGACGCGTCTGCGCGATAGGGACTAGAACATCCGGGAACGTGGCTGGTCCGGAGCAGAGATAAGCAGGTCAGGCCCCGGAACGGGTACGTAAGATAACCCTGGAAGTCACTATCTAACGGACATGTCTGCGAGATAGGGACTTGAACGTCCGGGTACGTGGGTGGTCAGGAGCAGAGATAAGCAGGTCAGGTCCAGGAACGGCAATATTATCTCCCGAGCATAGCTCCCAGATGGTCGAACACTCTCAAGTACGCTTCCTCGAGATAGGTACTTGAACGTCGTAAACATGCTCTAACGAAGGCTCCCAAGGGACTGGAATCGCGTGAAGATATTGTCTAACCGAGCACTCGAAGGCACTATCGAAAGGACATGTCTGTGAGATGGGGACTTGAACGTCCGAGTACGTGGCGGGTCCGGAGTCTCCAGTGTGCTTCCCCGAGATAGGTACTTGAACGTCGTAAACATGGTCTCACGAAGGCCCCAAAGGGAGTGGAATAGAGTGCAGAGATTGCCTAACAGAGATCTAGAAGTTACTACCGAAAGGACGCGTCTGCGCTTGAACGTCGTAGACTGCAATAGATTCCCCCCTAACGTAGCTAAACATAGCGTCCATATTGTTTGGCATAGCATTAGAAGTGATATTTGGCTCCACCGGAGCAAAGACAAACCTAGATCACGTTCCGGAACGGCAACATCGCAAATAACGTGGCCCAACGAGGGCTCAAAAAGGACTGGACAAGCACGTCTCCTCGAGAGAGGGACTGGAGCGTCGCAGACCGGGGCCCCTTTTGCACTCCAGATGCGCGCGCCGACTCCATCTACAGGGTGAAACATGCGCTCTTTTCAGTATAGCTGCACCATGTCACATCACGTCCCGTGACGTGTTAACCTTGTAGACTCGTGCAAATCTAGATGGGGAAAAGAACGTGAACTACCTGAATTGCCAGGGAGATTGAAACCTTAGCTCGCCACCGTGCCGGAAAGTACTGCAACAAATCCTGAGCAAATTTCATGTAGCAGGACACAGAGTGATGGCACAGCACTGGCCAGGGCGCCTGCAAATAGGCCCATCCATGGAAGGTCACGTGCTCATAGGTCCGAATACCTTCCTGTCGCCGATGGCCGCGCTGGAAGTATCCGCCGCGGGTACTCCCGG